TATATATAATAATATATATATATATGACTATGTGTATTAAATGCGTAGTAAATTAACCTCATTGACATAGTGACGCCGCTTTTATTACAAATCTCTCCTGTCGAGTCTTGCAGCTGTTTATCGGACAAACTTCTACACAATAAGAGATTGGGATAATTCTCCAGAATGACAGTGTACAGCCTAGAATTGGATAGCAATAACTCCAATACTTCCAAAGGCACCTAGAATCTCACATTTAAATTGATTTATTCATAGGAAACTGACAAATTGAGCAAGTTGCCGCTTTATCGCATCCTTACAACATTTGCAGTTTTTCCCCTTCATCGCAGTCTCACCTTTTCGCTTCGTTTTACAAAAGTTGGTAAATTAACTACACTTGTCGTCTGCCTCTTCGCTCCATCGACCGCTTTAGTACTGGTACTTAGATTTTGTAAAAAATATTCAGGCGCGTGGTCACTTCTAAAGAGCTTTTTCAGCTCTTCAACGCCTGGAAACTCGTCCGACGAACTTATGTCCAAGCGACCATACGACTTCTTCGGCAAAGCAGCTTGGTCCTGTTTGTGTTGCTCCAGAATCCACCATTCCGGATCTCTCATAACGGTACCCGCGACGATCATATTGAAGAAAGTACCGGCTAGGAGCAAACAAGCGCCTCGCCAGCCATACTCCTCGATCAAATATGTTGTCATAGGAGCGTAGAGAAACGTACCGATTCCAGTGCCGCATGCCCCGAGACCTACAGCTAGGGTTCGTTTCTTATCGAACCAAAAGGCGATGCTTACAACCGCGGTGACGTAGCACAAACCAAGACCAAGACCCGCGATCACGCCGAAAGTTAAGTACATTATCTCGATGGTATTGCTAAAGATACTTAGAATGAAGCCCAGCCCTGATATCAAACCGCCAGCGATGGTCATGTTCCTGCATCCATAACGATCGACAAGGGCAGACATGATCGGTCCGGATAGAAGAGGTACGGCCATGAAGAGCGACCCGATCCAAGCGGTCTTAGATTTTGAGGCGCCAAATTCATGAAGAAACTCGATGTAAAGCAAGCCGAAACTGAAGGAGACACCATCGGCTACCATCGAGATAATTAGAGAGGCTAAAACGACTACCCAGCCCCAACCGCCATCAGGCACTTTCGGTTTCTTACGTTTTGTTTCCTTCGCCATAAAACTCGACGAATACTCTCGCTCTGAGATGCTTAAGGAATCAATGGAATCCTTGACTCGCTTTTGATTTCTTTTACTTGTATCGGCGTATCTCTCATGATCAAGAGGTGCCTCCTGAATTTTGCCCCAAGCATCGCTCCGTTTTATCGGCTTGATAACTGTCTCAAGCGACTCGATTGCGTCAATCGGTCTCTCCGTTATATTGTTTATATCCAAATTGATTTCATGTATATTAGAGCTTTTCGAGGGTAAGCTGGTCTCATCGAAATCGACGCTTTGCTGGAGGAAACTTGAATAAATTGTAGGACTTCC